CCTGCAGAGACCTGTCCATCCAGGAGCCTCTTCTTTTCCCAGCCAAAGTGAAATTCACTGTCAGCGTGTCCCGCTCAGTGGCATTCAGGCTGTGTCCCCAACCCGTCTAGTTCCAAAACAGCGTCATCAGCACCAAAGGAGACCTTGTGCCCTTGAAGTGGCCACTCCCTGTTCCACTGCCCCTGACCAATCCCCATCTCCAGGGACCTCAGGGCCCTTCATATAAGTGGGACCACAGGCCATGCACTGCCTCCGAGCAGCCCAGGAGCCGTGCTGTCTTCCCAGGGGTCCTCAGCACTCTCTCAGGGCTTTCCCTAGAGCACCCCGCTCCCTCAGCAGGTATCCCCAGGAGCCCACGCAGCCCCCTTCGGCACCCCTCACAAGCACAGTCACCCTGTGTGGTTATCGCACGCCTGCCTGTGTGCTTAGACTCCACCTCGTAGGTACGGACGTGCCTGACCTGCTCACCGCCGTGTACCAGGGCCTAGCCAGACGTGGCACACGGCAGGCGCTCAGTAACATCTTATGAACCGAGCGGCCGAACGAGCGTGTGTGCGAGCCACTGCCCATATGGAGGTCATCTTGCTGGCCCCTGGCAGTGACACAGGAAGCCCCAGGCCCGGGGGGTCCCGCTCACGTCCTTATTTGGACATGAAGCAGGCCAGTGCTGGGTGTGGTCTGTGAGGTCCGTGCCCCTTCTGACCTCACAATGCCCGGGCCCCTGCTGGCGTCTATAAGAGGCCGCGAGCCGGGCCGTGGCTCACAGCCCACGAAGTTCCACCTGCTCACAGGTTGGCTGGCTCAACCGAGGTGGTGCCCCCTGCTCTGAGCAACTAGGCCAAGCCCACCCAGCACCATGGCCAGGTACATATGTTGCCGCAGCCCCAGCCGGAGCAGATGCCGCCGCCGGAGACGAAGAAGTCACAGACGGAGGAGGCGATGCTATCGCAGGCGGCGACGGGCAAGGAGTGAGCAAGGACACAGCCGGGGCTGGGCAGGGGCTGGGCCGGGCCAGGGCTGGGTGGGGCCGGGCCGGGGGCCCCTCTCAACGCCCGCCTTGCTCCCCCAGGATGCTGCCGCCTGTACACCCTGAGGTGTAGAAGATACTAGACGCAACAGTAGCAGGGCACCACCACACTCCTGCCTGAGACCCTCTCGCCACATCTCGAAAACGCCACCATCCGATGACGAACAGGAGCCTGCTAAGGAACAATGCCGCCTGTCAATAAATGTTGAAAAATCATTGTACTTCGGTGTCCGTCCTTGAGAAGGGGGGGACCTGGGGGTGTGATGGGGAGGGGAGGGACAGAATGAAAGGGAAAAGACGCTGGGCAGGGGGACATGAGACAGCGACAGTCACACTGTTGGCAGCCAGGCAGGGTCACAGCCAGCCTGCTGCCCCACGCCAGGAGGGAGCTCTGGAGCCCCACCCCCCCGGTTCCTACATAACCTCCCAGCTCTGCTCAGTGACTCATTGGCAGCCTGAACTAGGCCACGGTGGGAGCATTTACACCACAGGAATTAGCAAAGGACTGCCTTTATCCTAGGGAGGCCTGAGGTCCCCCAGAGCCACAGCCAGTTCAAGGTCGGCTTGAGCTAGATTTAACCAGCTCAGCGCTGCCACTCATATCTGCCCCGAAGTGTCCAGTTTAGCCCCAAACGGAAACCTCCACTTCAAAAGAGGGCTTCTTTGGTTACGTTTATGGATGAAGCAAGTCTCCATCAGAAAGTCAAGTGAAATTGTTTTATTCCTCATTCAGCAGCTCTAAATTTTCATCCCCACGTGGATACGCGATACCTTGTACAGGTAATAGCCCAACTGTGGACTAGAGGTGTTCCCTTGCCCGTCTGGTCTGACTCAAGCCACCCTCAGCCCGTGACACCGTCTGCACTGACACTCCCAGCCAACAGGGTTTAAAACCCGCGAGGTGTGAAGATGGGTCACGAGTCCTGACACGAGAAACCCCGGGGGCTCTGGCCGGCCTGGCTTAGTTACAGCTAGGAAAGCCCAACTCTCAGATGCCTGACGAGCCCAGGGCCAGCTCCAGAGCTGGGGCAGAGCACAGGCAGCGGGCAGATGCTCAGACCCAGGTCCACGCCGGCCCCGTGCACACCTCGGGCACGTCCTC